ATGGCCGCCGGCTGCCCGGCGCCCTTCGGGGACCCGGGGGAGATGCGGGAGGGCTTCCTGTGCCCCCTCTGCCTGAAGGACCTCCAGTCGTTCTACCAGCTGCAGGCGCACTACGAGGAGGAGCACTCGAGCGAGGACAGGGACGTCAAAGGGCAGATCAAGAGTAAGAACCGCGACGGCGCCTTAACGCGGCCCCTTCCGCCCCGGGAGAGACGCGGCGTGTGCCCGAGCTCCGCGGCGTCCGGGACGGGTCGCGGGGGGGCTCTGGGGTTTGTCTGTAGATCGCCTTAGGCCGAGGCATCATTTTTACGCTTTTCCCAATACTTAGAGTAAATTCTAAAGCGAGCTCTTAGCAGGCTCCACCCTTCCACTGTCTGATTTCGTGCGTGATTTTTATTATTGGCCTTTTGGGTTTCTGAAAACTCTTGATGTATCCTGTAACCCACACGAATTCCCAAACATTAACTTGAGGACCTGACTGAATACGGGGAATCCATGGCACTTGCCAAGTACCAGTTCCTTTAGCCCTTGTTAAGGTGTAGTCACAGTTGAAGTGAAAAGTTGAGGTCTTAAGGCTGTTGGTGGGAAAAGATGGAAAATAATGTTGGTGCTGGAGCTGGCAGTAGATGCTGGGAGTGTCCCAGGGTCGTGCTGTGGATTACCAGCTTTTACTGGTGTTTGAAAAATCACTTTCAATTCTGCCTAACTAAAATATTTCTCTCTTTTTACCCCCCCCCCTTGCCTACACAGCGTCATTTTTACATTGAGAGAGAAATGTGCAAAAATTGCTGGTAATTTTGTGTGTTCCCTGCAAAAATCTTTCTGGTTTTATTATGCTATATAGTGGCTTGACAGTCTTGAATTTTCACTCTTCACTGCATACACCCCACCCCACCCCTTTTTTTTTTTTTCCTGAGATTGATGATTATGACTTCAAAAGTCTCTTGGTGAAAAGTTTGTGTTTTTAACAAGCGTATCTTAAGGGTAGCCCAGTTTAATACTTTGTGAATCTCTTAAGTTGCTCTCCATCAGCCTGGCCACTGCCTGGCTGGTAGCACCGAGCGAAGGCGGTCCGTGCTGCCCTCACTTCTCATTGTGGGTACGGTGCTGTCAGAGCTGAATCACAGATGCTTCTGTGGAGTGTGTAAACCAGAACAACAATGTGTTTTTTCATTGTGGTAAGAGGAAAGCAAGCAACAACTTAGGCTTGGTAAGATTTCCCAAATGCTTTTGTTACTTAGTACAAAACACCATCATTCTGATTTTTGTTCTCTCTTGTGTTCTTTTGCTCTAAAATAGTGTAGCGTGACTTCTCAGGCTGTCTTTTCCATGTGCTCTTGCATAAAACATGTTGCCTTTGTCTGCTTACTTTCTGTCCTCATTGTTTGTGTCAAGGTTGTATCCAGGGCAGTCCCTCCTAGAAGAAGGAAGGTCAGCAGAATCACCTATTGAAATGACCTGTTTTAAGGACTGGTGTTCCAGATGTGCATCACAAGTGGTTGCACAACTTTGTGCTGAATCCAGCTATCCTAATTGTGGAGGAGAGGTGCTTACAAATCACCTCATTACTTAGTTGAGTCATACTGAGGTGGTTAAGTTTGACTTCATAGCAAACAAGATTGTGAAGTTTATGTGAAAACCTTTTGTGTCTGTGGCAAAGCCATGAGGTGTCTCTGCATCTTTGTGAATACGACAGACTTTCACAGTCTCAAGTGCAAATATGTTTTCTATTTAGATAGTGTAAACTTAAGAAACTACAGCATCTAACTGGCATTTGCTATGCTGGCTTGAGAGGAGCTGGGGGAGGAGGAATCCTGTTTCTTAAATGATGTTACAGTGCTAGCAAAGCCCTTGCCAACCTGACACAGTTTTGCGGAGAAGTGTGTTTTGTACCACTGAGTGCCACTGGGGAGGTCTGCCTGAGGGGCCGGCTGGCACAGGCCCAGTGGCTGAAACCTGGGGGACAGACTCCAGGAAGGTCAAGGGGGAAGTTCCATTGTTTTGGACACTAAATTAGAAAATCAGAAATATGAAAGGACATGCTAATTTATGGTTCCCAGCAGCTTGTTAGAAAGATTGAGGTATAAAAAAAAATCTAGTTCACAGAGATACTGAATGTGTTTGGCAGAAGTAGTAACCTCAACTTTTGCTAGCATCCAGAGAGGAACATAGCTGTGAGGGCAACAAAAGCTCTGAAGTTTCAAGTTCTTGGTCTTTTTTTTTGGCCTAGTAGGCTGCCCTCCTCTCACTAGCATTCATAGGAGATAATGCAGTGGGCTCTTAAATACCTCTGAAATTATTTAGGTGTACAGGCGCACCAGAATTCTTAGTTTGTAGTTTGCGCAACCAGATAAAGTGTTGAACATCCCTGAATCCTAAGGAAGTTATTGGGAATTAAGAGAATTAAGATACTGTGTGATGTCCCAGAATGCTGTGAAGTGGGTCCCACAGTGTAAGTCAGCTTACTGTTTTACGGTGAAGTCCCTGAATGGAGTGTCTGAAACTACTGTTTTGTCATTTAGAAACCTTAGTGCTCCTTTATGACAGATAACAAACAGTGTTTCATGTTGTCTGTGTTTCTCTGAACCATGCTCTGGTTCTAAACAGATAAACCTGTCAGCAAGGAAAAAGACTTGTGCTAAAAGATGAGGAATATTCCATCCTGGTTTCCTGTGACAGACACTCAGTGGCTGCCTGCTGCGTTTGATAACTTGCGTTTATCTTTTTCAGATCTAGTCCAGAAGGCCAAAAGAGCAAAGAAGAAATTGCTGAAGCGGGAAGGAGATGACAGAACTGATTCTGGATCTCAGGAACGATACGAGTCATTCAGCTATGGTGGAGTAGACCCATACATGTGGGAGCCCCAGGAAGTAGGTAGGAGAGCCAGCACGCGGTACGCCCTGGGGATAACTTCTCTCTCCATCTGAACTGGGAAGGTGCTGCGGTATTACTGAAGCTGCAGGGGATTCTCTGTACTGGTTTGATTCGCTGTAGCGTGGGGTTATGGTTTGCGTACTGATTTTGTGCAGCCTGCCTACATTGTGTGTGGTGATAGGGAAAACGCAGATCATGGAAAAAAAGAAAAAACTGTATAGAATCGGTAACCCAACTAACCTTGAGAGCAGGATGGCTGTTTGTCGTGTCACTGTGCCTGAGCTGTTGGACCTGCTGAGTGTATGTTTACCTCTCTGCATCTAGCTTCGTTGAGGTGTTCTGCAACTGTCTTGTGGCTTTTTGCAAAACAGATAATCCACTAAGCAATAATTAAGCTATAGCTATATGAAATCTCCAGCTGTTGGGCTACACTTGTTAGTTTACATGACTGACAAAAAAAGCTTGTCCATTGATTTAGTCTTTCAGCTTTTTCCTTGGATTCGGTGTTTATAATATCATTAAGAATAGGTTACTTTTTTTTTTTTAAAAAAAGGGGTGGGAGGAAAAAAAAACCTAAATAAAAAAACCCAACCCCAAACCCACATCTCTGAATATAAATCTATGTTTGTAGAATTTCAAGGATGAGTTGATCGAGTCTGTAACTGCAAATGCTGCTACTGGAAATTGCCTCTTACTGAAAGATGAGGTTTATTTCCAGGGGGAGGAGGCAGCGCTGTCTCTGGTGGATCCTGGGAGTTTCCCCTGTGCCGCTGACAGACTAGGACTTACTCCTTTAGGTCTGCAGAGTCTGAGTTCTGTGGAATATTATACTTTTGACTCTGTAACTATTTCAGCAGCAATCATAAGATAAATACTAGCTAAGAATAAATTCAGGCAGTGAACTAGCAGAAGGCTTTTGAACATTAGAGAAGTGAGAACTGTTTTCTGATCACAGTGGAGATGATGACCCTTAGGGATTTTAGGATGGGATTTGGTGGCTTTGTTAAAGGGACCGTGTGATGTCTCCAAAGCAGTAGATGAATTTACTTACCCAGAGCAGACACTTTCATTCCTGTGAATTTAGCTTTGGAGGTTTTTTGGTTTCATGGTTAGCATGAGGAAGTGAGATTCTTACATAGGTAGTATCAAAAAGCAACATCTGATTTTGTGTTCTACCAGTCAGAAGAAAGACTTTTTTGTTTGTTTGGGTTTTGTCTGTAACTGGTTTTTAACACCTGGCTCATCTTACTTGGAAAAGTATCAGAACTTAAACTTGAAACCAGTGTTGTCAAGTATGAATTGTACATTTCTTAAATAAGTGCTGTATTGTTCTTTTGTATACTTGGTGATCAGCTTTCTACAAATCTGAAATGTCATCATGGATTTGATTCGGACCCCTAATGCATTTAAATCCCTACAGAATACCTGGGTGACTGTGAAAACTTTCTGCTGTCTCTCCAGGTGCTATGAGAAGCCATCTTTCTGATTTCAAGAAACACCGAGCAGCCAGGATTGATCACTATGTAGTTGAAGTCAATAAGTTAATAATCAGGTTAGAAAAGGTAAATTTGCTGCTTTTTAATATTCAAGGCTTCTAAATGTTTCCTAATTTTTTAAAAAAAATCGTATTTTAGTATGGTGTGCCCATTTATCTAGCAGTGCAATTTTTATAAAGGATACTAAACCATGACCCTCTTCACATATTATTGTTTACCTTTTTTATCCTTGAGTACTGTGCTTGGTCTGACCTTGTCCTGTGGAGGGGATTTCTGTTTCTATACGCTGTTTTCAAGCTGAAGATGCTGCTTCCATGTGTTTCAGGAACTATCTGTTTTTCTGTATACCTTCTCCACCTTTTCCTTTACTAAGTTTGTTCCTAATGTCTCTGTGATGATTATTCCAGATTCTCATTCTTCAGATTCTACCAGTGATACCCTTAGATTTTGGCTCAGATGCAGTAATGTCGGATGCTGTAAGGATTATGTCCAAAATGCTCTGATTTGTACAGGCTTGGCGGTCATTGTTTAGCACTGCTTCTATGAATATGGCATTAGAAATAAATAGGAAAGTTGAAGGAATCTGGTGTAAAACACACTGAGACTCCTATCTCTTAAAAATGCCAGGTTTCCTGTTGGGCTGAGTTGTGTTTTGTTTTGTTTTTTTTTTTCCTTGCAAAACAGTTTTCTTAAATGTATTGTTTATCTTCTACTAGCTTACATCGTTTGACAGAGCAAACACTGAGTCAGCTAAAATAAGAGGTTGGTATGAGCTTACCTCAGACTATTTGCTGCTGTAGTTTAACCAGCCGAGGAATTAACTGAATTAATTATGCTGTGTGTATTCCCTCCCCTCTTGCTCGAGCACAGCTATAGAGAAGTCTGTTGTGCCTTGGGTCAGTGATCAGGATGTTCCGTTCTGCCCAGACTGTGGCAATAAGTTCAGTATTCGGAACCGACGCCACCACTGCCGCCTCTGTGGGTCTATTATGTGCAAGAAGTGCATGGAGCTTGTCAGTCTTCCTTTGGCAAGTAAGTACAGTGTGGTGTTAATTCGTCCTTTCCTTGGCTCACCCAGGGTGCTAACTGCATCCTGGATTTTTGTCATTAGAAAAAAAGCTGCTGGTAATATTCTGCCTGTGTGGACAACTTGGTCCTTAATGTGTCATTCCATTTCACGCAGACACTTGTCTGTGAAACAGAGGAAGAAGAATTTCCCCATTCTTTGCTCTTTCTTCAGCTCTGGGAGTGTTACATAACCATGAAAAAGTTACTAGAAGTGGTAGTAGTATATATTGCTAGTAAATATAATTAATATTTAGTGTTTTATTCTACTGAGTACCATAACTATGGAGGTATTACCTTTAGGAATTATAACTCACGAGGTTCTTAACATTTAAAAAGCTATTGAGGCTATTCCCAGTCTTGCCCATGGTTGTCCAAATGCTGACATGAAGTAAATTAATCCACAAGCCTTTAAGAAACCCTTCAAACTTTAATATCATTTTAATTTCTGGCGTGTTGGAGAGGAGACCGTATTTTTGGTGGAAATAAATTTGTGCTTTTTGGAGTGTTCAAGCACACAACATGGACAGCATTAACATAGCTGTTCTTCCACCTGCTGCTCTACTGCTACGCAAGCTCCAACATGAGATTGCTTCTAGGCATAAGGGAAGTAGCTGGTTCTCAGCTGTCTGCTCTGCAGCCGCTCTGAGAATGGAGCAGGATTTACGGTGAAGACCCAGATTCTGACTTGCAGGCTTGGTTGTCATGGGTTCCTTGCATGTCTTTCAGCAGCCTGTTTCAGCTTGGTTTTCTAATATTACCTGAATGTAAAGTTTCTGTTAAAATGCAATTAATTTGCATTGGTTAAAAGCTATTGGCTCTCCAGTCACTGTAAAATTACCTGTGTATACTTTTTAGGCAAACTTACTAGCGCCAGCAAAGAGGCCTTGGGCTCTCACACGAGCCCCAACTCCTCACCCAACAGTGTCCATGGCTCCCGCCGTGGCAGCATTAGCAGCATAAGCAGCGTGAGCTCGGTTCTGGATGAGAAGGACGACGACCGAATCCGTTGCTGTCAGCACTGCAAAGATACCCTGTTGAAAAGAGAACAGCAGATTGATGAGAAGGAATACACTCCAGAGATTGTGAAGCTCTACGAGGTAAACCAGCCTCTTTGCCGCCGTCACCCTCAGTGTCTCTCTGCAGTAGTCATTACTTGGCTTTGGGCTTCTTGTCTCATGTCCGAGCACCTACTTCGAACAGACTGCTGGGTGCTTATGCCACATAACAAAGGTATATCTGAAATAAGAGCCAGCTGCCATATAGCATTTGTACCCCACAATAACTTAATTAATTTAAGATACATCTTTATTCTACTCACGTGGAACTCACAGTTCCGAGATGCCCCTCTCTTACAATTGTGAACCGTGTCAGCTGCAGTTCCTGTTCAGACCAGTGCAGCCCAAAGTGCACGTAAGTGTAGGACTCCATGTTGTCAGCACTGTTTGTCCTCACACTGATGGCAAATGCTTTTTTGAACCAGCTACAGCAAATCAACAGCATATGGCCGGAACATTGCGTTCAAATATGCTTTGAAAGAGGTACTGGCAGTCATCAGGGATCTTTCCAGTAGAGTCCATAAACCTGCCAGGTTAGTGTTAATGGGAGTTTCTGTGGTGCTCTTTGTGAAGAAATTTAAGGCTAGAAGTTGTCCAAGTCATCCATTAAAACAGCTTCTGAATTCAGAATTCACCTTGAAGGGGTACAGGGAGTCATTCTCTGTTCCTGACCATGCCCTGAAGATAACTGGAGAGTCTTGTCATCCTGAAGAATTAAGTGGCTTTCATCACAGTTAACTCTGAATGTGCCCAGGCAGCATGAAAGGTATATGTGGGCATGTTCTTGTATTAATGTTTTAATATAAATTCTTTTTTTTATACATTTTGTTTTAAACAAGAAACTCCGACTCTGCATGGAGAAGGTTGACCAGAAGGCACCAGAATACATAAGGATGGCAGAATCACTAAAGTAAGCCCCATTGGCTGATTTTGTTTATGAATATATGTATTTTGCCCCCCCAAATGAGTAAGGAAGTGGCGTGCTAAGGCAGCAAGAGTGTAAATTATAAGGAAAGGCTGTGTTAGATGATCTGTTGTCGTTTGGATGTTCTTCAAAGTAGAACTGAATTATTAATGGTAACATTGCATACAGAGAAGTCCTGAATTATTTTTTTTTTCAAAGCCACTTCCCAGTGAGGCACCACTGTCATACTTTGACATGTCATCTTTGCACAAAGAAAGTACAAGGTTACAATTCTTGTGTAAATGAGCCTCTTTGGAACAGCTGACATCGGGTGTTGCTGCCCTCAGCCGGATGGTACCCGCGGCTGTTGGGCAGTGCCAGTACAAAGGCATGTCTGAACCCCTCAGCTGTTCTGGTGTGAAGCAGCCTTCACCTCCCAGTTGTTCTGGGTCTAGCTGGCCTGCCCTTGGCTGGAGAAGAGGAGCAGCATTCAGATATCACACTTCGTGCATCATTTCTAGCAGAAGTGTCCTCTCACTGGAGACACTTAAATCTCTCCAGCAGCGTCTGCAAGAGCTTGCCAGGTTATGCTTCTGGCTTGTATAGTAGAGAAATACACATACTGGTCCTGAACTATGAAGCACATCCATTTGTGAAGTTGCAGTTAACAAATATTTCTGTACCTGTCCTTTAGATCTGATGGTTGTAGAAAGATTGGACTGTCATTCATCATAAAACTGTGTTTGTAAAAACACACCTTCCAAAAGGAAGAAAGTATAGAAGGTGAAAAACAGGCTAAGCTCTTACTGCTTTTTGTCATAACTTTGAGAGCTGGTGTTACGTGGTTTGGCAGCTGGAGAAAAGTAAAAATATGAATATCCTGGGTAATGAAGCACGTGTCAGCAAACGACAGACTTCCTACTGATGAAATTAAAGATTTCTGACTAGTAGCGAGTCCCAGAAACTGGAATCATATGGGTAGTGAACTTGCTTTTGACAGAGTGATCCTTATCTCTTATATTTGTGATATAAAATGAGAGAGAAGCTAAGAACTGGTGAAGTCTTCTCTGTTAAATCCTAATTTGTTTTATCAGTGAATGTGAGATTGCAGTAAAGTGTGTTACCAACATTTTAAATATACCCATGTGGGGTTGTAGGTTTTCACTTTTTGACAAACATTAGTAGATACAACTATTTTACTTCAGTGCTAGAGTTACTTATTCAAACACTCAGGGTTTTTTCTGCACTCAATTGCCTGGAAAAAAGCACTAAATAGATGCATTTGCTAAGTATGTGTATGTTTTAGATACTATTGGTAGAGTGGTATTCTTGTATTAAAATACAATTTATCCTATAATAGTAAGTAATAATGCAATTATAAATAAAGTTATCTTCTATGAAGTGTTAATGTTCACAAGATGATTGTTTTCCACTTCTGTCACAAAGGGTTTTTAAACACAATGAACTTGAAATAAAATTATTCAACCCCTTTATTTTTAGCTGTTCTTACCATTGTGAATCTTAGTTATTTTGGGATAACTTGTAGTGCTGGGTGTGTTGTTAGCACTGTTTGTGTGTGTGTGTGTGTGTGTGATGTGTGACTTAAAGCTGTATTTATTTCATAGTGCTGGGGAGACAACCTACAATCTTGAACATGCTAATGACTTGAGAGTGGAGATTCAAAAAGTATACGAATTTATAGATGCCTTAAGGTAAGAGATCTCTTCCCCCCCCCCCCC